CATTCAAGTTTTTTAAACTCTACAAAGTCTCTCCTGACAGCTCTATCTGTAGAGTCCCTTCTTTTTCTGAACTTGTTCTTATTTGCTATCATATCACTTAATGAGGTGTCCATGTATCTTTACTTAACCTTTATTATTAGGGAAGTTAAAAATACTGGTCACTCAAAGGATCTGAATAGGCATTTTTCCAAGGAAGACATACAGATGGCCAACAGGCATATGAAAATATGTAAAACACCACTAATTATCAGGAAAATGCAAGTCAAAACCACAATAACATATCACCTAACATCTGTTAGGATGGCTATGATAAAAAAGACAATAAATAACAAGTGTTGGACTGGATGTGGAGAAAGAGGAACCCTTGTATACTGTTGGTGGAATTATAAATTGGTACAGCTATTATGAAAAAAAACAGTAAGGAGGTTCATTAAAAAATTAAATATAAAACTACCAAATGATCTAGCAATTCCTCTTCTGGGTATTTATTTAAAAATATGAGAAAAAATTTAAAAAATATATGAGAACACTAATTCAATATATATATATACATATATATATATATATTCATTGAATCATTATTAACAATAGCAAGATATGCAAAAAATGAAGTATCTATAAACATAAAAGAAACTGTGGCAGAGAGAGAGAGAGAGAGAGAGAGAGAGAGAGAGAGAGAGAGAGAAGAGAGAGAGAGAGAGAGAGAGAGACTACACAGCAATAACAAAATCAAATAATTAGGGAATACAGTTAATAATGTTGTAATAACTAGGTATGGGTACTTGACTTATCAAGGGATCAGTTTGTAAGTTTTATAAGTGTCTAACTACTGTAGTATGTGGATGGATCTTGAAGGTATAATGCTGAGTCAAATAAGTCAGATGGAAAAGAACAAAAAACATGATTTCACTTATATGTAGAATATAAAACAAAAAAAGTAGCAAATGAACTAATAAAACCAACCACATAGATACAGACAACAGAATGCTGGTTAGCAGAGAGGAAAGGGTTTTGGGGAGGATGACTGGACAAAACAGATCAAATGTATGCTAACAAAAGGAAACAACTTTTGGTGGTGAGCATGCAGTAGAGTACACAGATATTGAATTATAATGTTGTACACCTAGAATTTATATAATGTTATTAACAGATATTACCTCAATAAAACAAAAATAATAATGGCCACGGAGTTAACTTTTGATACCTTTGTATATTCCCAGCACTTCTTCTTCTCTTTCTTCTGGCAACAGACCCTCCTCTCAAGGCAACAGAGTGGGCATATAACACAAGTTAGTCCAGCTCAAGTCCTTCCCTGAAGGTAGGGTCAAATTCTATCTGAGCCATCTTATAGTTAGAATGCAAGTGAGGACTTGGTCCAGCCAGGTCACCCAACATAAGTAAAAACCTGTCTGAACAAAGAAGCTGACTCCCCCCAAAGGAGACAAGACAAAAGACCTAGCAAGCCCTGAGAGTTTCTAAGTCCCTGGATCCAGTTGTCCCTGAGCAAGTTTCCTCCCAAACATTCCCATGGTTTGGTTATATCAGTCAATAAATTTGGGTTCTTTTTGTTTTGTTAAGTTGTAGACTAATTTGAGTTTGTCACTTGCAGTCTTGACAAATCGATTATAGATCCCTTGAGGAAGTCATACCTTTCTGGGTTCAGTTTTACTGTTTTTGGTCATCCCATTGCACCTAGCACCCTGCAAAGAATAGAAACTCAATCAGTAGTTGTCAAACTAATAAGTATTTGTTTTTATTAAAATTCAGAAATATTATATAAGACCCTAAAAGTATTAATAAAATTATTATGTGTATGAAATCATGAGCAAGAGTCTCAAGAAATACTAAGACTTTGGTTAAGTCACCTGTTTTCAGGAACAAAATGTACATATTTAACCAGGTTGTGAATATATCCTTGTCATTAACAGGCCATTACCTCTGTAAAGCATTATTCAAATGCTTTATACCTTCTCACAGTGGAAAATGCTTAATATCAATGTGTTCAAATGTTGAATTTTTTCTTTCCATGTTAATGTACTGACAATTGTATAACAAAGTGTATATATGTATATATACTTATACACACACACATACATACATACACTCTCTGTGTGTGTATGTATGTGTGTGTGTGTGTGTGTGTGTGTGTGTGTGTGTATTGCTTTAACCACCTTCCTGAAAAGTTTATTTATTGCATTTAGAAAACCTGGGGTGTAAATATAACCAAGTAGAAGTTTGCTCCACACTCTCTTTTACAGGCCCCTTTCCATGAATTCTATGTGCAACTTGTTCATGAATATGGAAAGTATCTGAAGATTTTCTTTTAACTTGTCTTGATTTCCTTGAAGACTCTGGCACACAGCATGAGATTAAAATAACCTGGCCTTGCTGGCCACTTTGCCCACAAATACCAAGGAATAAATATTAGAATGATGGATTCTCTT